TTTCATTATTACATCAAATAATAAGGTTTTAATTAAATGATTAAATAAATTTATTGCTTGGTTAAAGAAAATTGTTATTACCTGTATATATAAATAATTGAATTTTGTGATCGTTAAATTACCATGTGGCGACATTACGACCATGGTTTAAATAGTGTGCTTGTAATAATCAATGGCATGCATTACGTAATGATTGTTTATTAATTAAATGAACATTGTTTATTACAACTGCGGTAAATTTACGAACATCAATGTCACTCGCGTTAGCCACGTTAAATATTATTTAAATAAATTGTATATTAATATAATTATTATAATAATTTTTATATAAATAATAGTTATAAATAATTATGATAACAACAACAAAAAAATATCAAAACCTTTTTAAACAAATTCATTATAAAATACCATTTGTTAATAAATCATTAGTTTAATTGTTTCACTAAATGTGTGTAATATTTGTAAGCTATTTCATTAGAGTAATAATAGTTATCATAATATAAGTTAATAGTTATCGTTAAAAATGGTTATGAATATCACTGACTGTCATATGTCATTGATTTATGGCCGGTATCGAAGAACTTGATCCCATCGGCGGTCAACTGTTTTATTAATTATAATAAGTATTACTCAATAGAAGTGGTTTGTATGAGAATTATTGAATACGAGATAATGATTGCCAGACACGAGACAAATGTCTTTGAGTTTATAGTAAATAAATTCAATGCCGTTAAACACATCCGATCCTCAAAATTAATTATTTCAACCAATAATAGCCTATCGTTTCCCAAATTTGTGTCCACACATCTGTCCTCTAATTTGGTCACAAATTTTTTGTAACTTTTGGTCAGAATATCGGGTATTAAACAAATACACAATAGTATGCTTATTGAGAACAACATGGCCACTATCATAACTCCCAAATTAATATACTGTGTCATGGCCAAAACGCACAAGTTTGATACGACATTCACTGTGTATACCATGAATGTCATTAGTAAGTACACCGATATGATATTGTTAAAATTTTGTAAGTCACCATGCATATCAGTTAGCAGACTATAGATTTTATTTAGATTAATGCCAGCGTTTGAATCCAGAATATTCTGCATCATTGTTGACATAACACAGTATTTATAAGCTATGAGTGATATAACACACAATTGATTATTACAGGTGATTATGCTTACAAACCCATATAGTATTAGCTTAAACCAATCTACCATCTGACTTTTTACCATTAGTTGATGCATGAATATTGCAATAAACATGCACATGATAGATATTAAGCCAAACTGGATTAATGCAATGTATAAACCGATCTTGCGCTCAATATTGTGGTCAATTTTAGCCGATTCTTGGTTTTGGGTTTTTACTGAATTTATTATAGCCTTCCCTTTTAATAGTGAGAAAATACAGGCAAACATCGATTGGATAACAAATACTAAATAACCCAAACTAATTGTGATAAACATCAGGATCGATTTGCGCGAATTCATCGGATTTTGTTTTGTTCCGGTTAATAAATTGTGTATGCTGATGTAACATTGCCAAGTAATCACCATCACAATACACAAATTCCATAGTATTTTTAATGCACGTTTAAATTTACCATAATTATTTGTTTCTGCTGGATATATTTTAGCTCCGCAGTATGAAATACCGAATATACTGTGATATGTTAGCAATATATTTAAACCAGACAACTTGGTTAAATTTTGAATCATTATATCTATGAATTATAAAAGCTCTGTTAATTAATATAAATGGTATACAAAAAATGCAAGGTAGTGTATTTTAACTATACATAACTGTATTATTAAACCTGCTTTTATATAAATTCTGTATATTTATTATATTGATTAATTTGCAATTGATTTAAAAGTAAACATGCAACATTCAACAACATTCAGTATTGAATTCAATAAAACGTTATAACTTATATCTTATGGCAATATAATGATTGATGTCCTAGAGAGCAAATAACAATGTTATTCAAAGTTGATTTGATTAAAATAATAACAACATGTTTTTGCTATAATTAATATTAATTAAATAAGTATTTACATTAATACAAGTCTATTGATTATTTAATAGGTACAGGTATCATTCAAAACCATAATAACAATCAAATATTTTCCTACAAATATTTATAGATTATTTAATTCAAATAATTAATATTTTAAATAATAAACATTTTATCTAAATATATAATTGCATTTTTAAAAATAAAAATACAGAATTACATTTATAAAATTATTAACAATCCTTACAGATTCATAAGTAAATACATTAAATTGTATCCATTTTTGTATTGTCAGTTATAGAACTAATATTCTGTAGCAAAATACACATGATTAAAAATTATATAAAAACATATGTCCTTAAAAGCGTACTCAATGTCCTAACTTTGCTAAAATTTGATTTATCGTAATAAAAATATACCTAAAAATACAAATATGTGACTTTTATTACAATGAATACACTGTGATTAAAGTAGTATTTTTTATAGAAAGCAATTACTATTACAATTACTACTAATTAATTAATACTTTATCATGCACAACTAGTTTAGGTTGCATACTTTTATTAGATACACTTTTACTAATACAATGAGAATTAGTGATCATGATTATAAGGATTAAAATAATATATAAAATTAATTTTTACTTTCATTAAACATTTATGAAAACAACTTGGTTAAATATTGTCCATAATGAGCAAGCACATATTCAACATTTTCTATATTATGTTTTTAAAAATAAGTTGACTTATTTGCATAAAGTAATTTTAATTGCACCTAGTAAATTGTACTAAAAATGTTACCTCTTCAACTTACCGTATATTAAAAAAATCAGTTCCAACGTAAATAAAAATCAAAAAAGTAATAAACATGCTTAATTGACTATCTAGTTCATAAAATAATTATCTACATTTTAAAAATGGTTTATTAATTTATTGGTGTCTCATGATTTAATTATGCATACTGTATAATATAATAAATTAAATGTTTTATAAATTATAATAAAAATTCTTAAAATAACAAATAAAAGTTGTATAATATAGAAAGGCTTTAGGTAAAATGGGAATATTTATGACCATGGTTGGTTACACCACATTATATACTGAACATCACTCGACACTTAAGATTAGATATTGATTACAACTGAGTTAAAAGCCTTTATTTGCGATTATTATTACCTCTCGTAAAATATACGTATATTTATATAACAGAATATACTTATATGAATCTATGACAATATATCACACAAAGTTATAGACAGGGGTTATATTCAGTACATAATTAATCTATGTATAAATACAGGAGAATATAAACGTATAGTTAGTAATTGTAAGTCTATGGGGAGTGCATCGATTGTTTTGAAATCATTATGATTTATTTATGTGTTGTTACTTTTGTATTTAGTTAAATATTAAATTAAATATTAGTTTATTTACTAAATAATATATAAAATTACAAAATAAAATGGTTGTGAAAGAAACCGACGAAACATCTAATAAGTATAAAAATAAAAAACAATTATAATTTTAATAAACCGTTAATTAATTGTAATTTTGAAACAATGAAACAGTGATAACAACAATACAAACACATTGGAAAATAATGAGATCAAAGAGCCTAAAAGGACACCGGTATCGTTTCTATCGCTGGTATGTTAATTCACCATCATTAGAATTTAATACAATTAATTCATACATTTATTAAAACAATGAGCACGATTAAAATATTGCATGTATTTAAAGCAATAAGTTCAATATTGTACAAAAACATACGCAACTGTCAATACGTTTGATTGCATAATCAGATTAAAACAAATTGTTATATAAATTATGTAATCAATAACACAATACAAGTCATAACATGACATACCTGTGCTTTTTAAACATAGTTTGGTTACGCGTCCGGTGCGGACAAACTGCTAATACTGATCGGATCGGTGTTCGCCATAGTTATAGGGGCCGGACTGCCGGCCATTATGATCTTCATGGGTGAGCTGTCGGCCACATTCATTGAGTACGAAATGCTGAACCAATTGTCCAAATGGCCGACCGCTGGCGACTACTACTCCAAGACACTGACCAACATTGCCGACAAACAAGTGTTTTTGGACACAATGTTGCGCGACTTACCAGACTTTCATCTCGATGTGATTAAGATTAAGCTCAAAGTGGACAATCAAACCTATGTGGATTTATTGAACAAGACAGTTTTCCATGGTGACAAAGGTTTTGAGACCAAGTTCCTGCACGATAGCGACCAATATAATTATTTAATGTTTGGTGTGGCCGTGGCTTTCCTATTGTGCGGCTACGCTATGGTTACCACGTTTAGTATTGCGGCCAATAATCAAATCCAACGCATACGTGTGCTATTCTTCCAGGCCATACTCAGACAGGACATCACGTGGTTTGATACTAAAACTAGTGGTGATTTTGCCACCAAAGTGACCGCGTACGTTTTTAAAAAGTTTTTAACACACATTATTTTGTTTGACAATATTTATGTTAGCGATATTTATTGGTTTTTGTTGTTGATTATGACTAGATGGTCAGTTTTGTAAAATCTAGTTTAATTGAATTAAAATTTTCGATTAATTACACTTTTATATTAGTTTTATGTATTATGGTAACGTTATTTACCTTTATTATTGTTTTCTGCATAGTGATTTTACTAGAAAAACACAATATTATAACTTTAATTACTTGTTATTTTGTTGTTTTAATTACTTATAATTAAATTAATTATATTAAACAGAGATCTAAATAAACTACAAGAAGGCATCGGCGATAAGGTTAGTAAACCTAATAAAATTAATCTCAAATAAATATTTAATTACTGTTTAAGTAAATAATGACATATTTTTCCATACATTTCCATTCTCTATGCAATCGTTTCATTAAAACAACACAAACTGTAAACTAAAACCCAAACCCAAACCTAACATAACCGTGCATTTTGGGTGCTATTGTCCGAACATTTAGGTGTCATTATGTATATTCTCGTTCTCGACGGTGTTGTGCTCGTTGGGCACAGCCCTGTACTACGGCTGGGAGCTAACCTTGGTCATACTGTCCATCACACCCGTGCTGATCATCGCGTTCGCCATAATTGCCAAGGTAAAAAAAGCAAACCAACCTAAACCTCACCTAACATTACCCCGATCACAATCACACCCACCATATCACGCCTACCCCTACCAGATTCAGGCCAAATACTCGACCAGCGAAGCGGACTCGTACGGCAAGGCCGGGGCGGTGGCCGAGGAGGTGTTGGGCGCCGTGCGGACAGTGTACGCGTTTGACGGCCAACGGCGTGAGATAGACCGGTACAGCAAACACCTGGAGCCGG